GTACATATCTAAGTTCATGTCAGACATCGTTTTGTCAGGCTGCCCCTCTGCTGCCATCTGTCACACGGAAGCAAAATTTAACAAAATATTGGTTGGGAAACTCAGCCTCTACTGCCATACCACCAGCTGCCTCTGATGTCATGGGCCAACATAATAAAATAGGAGGCATTCCTTTCAGAACAGCTCACATTCATATATGTAATACAGCTTTCTAAAAAGGCTCTATGTGTACAACCTTCTGTAAGCTTAAGAAATGTGATTATATTGCACGTAGGTATCACATAGCTTGGCAATATAAAGTTTCCAGAACCAAAATTAAACTTTATGTAATTCTGTGTTGTTACTGCTTGAAATAGCCTTTTTTTTTTTTCCCTAAGATCTTGAAACAAAGTGTTTATATTATCCAGAAAAAAAAATAACTTAGTAATGAAAAATAAATACAAGTGCCTCAGCATTAACTGACTCAGCAAATACTGTAATAACTTTGCATAGGAAAACGTAATGATTTGGTGTTTCTTAAGTTTGAACTTGCATTCAGTGAAGTAAATTCCATGGGCTGTTTCTGTAACTCTTAAGTCATTGACTTCATCTTGAGCCTTCTAATCACCTCATCTGAGACAGATCTTACCTACTTTTAATTGTTGTTTCTTTCTTGCTGTCATTCTTTTGTTTCAGGCATGCAGTTTAATAAAGACAACTCCTAATAATCATGTATCTAGATATCGCTTAAAAGAGGTAAAGGAGGGAGCATTGACCAAGAGTGATGATCATATGATGATATATAATAGCCTTTTCCCAAATCTGATGCTATTTGCTGTGTAAGAAAAAATTCATCTCTGTGAAAGAGCTGAGAGAAAATAAGACAGGATTTTGATCAATGCTGATTCTGGTTAAGTTTGATCACAGCACTTGACTATTTGGGCAAGTCTGGAAGTATACTCACAGAAAACTCAGGTTTTGCTAAGAGTAACAGGACTCTACTAGCTCAGGTAGGGAATGCTTGATCTATTTTTTCACTTGTCTCATCTAGCCATAATAATGGAATAAGATGCACTAACAATTCAGTAATTAATCTCACTGCTATCTCTTTAGTGAAGCTGTTACATTGCTGACAGTTTTCAGCTGTTTCTTTTCTTGATTTTTTCTTTGGCAGAAGGACTGATGGTTTTCTCAAGGTGTTTATAGAGATTTAAATATATATATATATATTTTTAATTTTGAGATCATTGTATTATTGCCTCCATCTACAGAGATGGTCATTGGGTTCCATCAAAGCAACACCCAGAGAGTTTGTGCTGGGATGGGTAGTGTATACCTTCCAGAAAAAGCAATGTTTATTTATGAATATATCAGGGAGAATAGTAAAGAGCAATTTTTTTTTCAAGTTTCAGGAAATGAGATTCATAAAAACATTAATTCTCTGATCACTATAGGTATAAATGAGCAGGAGTGTTAATAGTTCCTTCTCCTCTGGAGGCCCATGCTGCAGTATTAAAATGTAAATGAGACACATGTAGACACCTAATCTGGATGAGTCTGGGATGCAGATCTGTTCTTCTGTTCATTACATCTATTAATTTTTATTGCTACATGGTTTATAGAAAAAAAGCCTGGTTAATATATAAATATATTTATCTTTGGGGATTTTTTTTTTAAATGAAAAAGATGCAAAGAAGCTAGACTTTCTAAGGTAGTCTTCCTAGTTTTAAAATGATTTTCTGAGACAGTCAGGCTCATTCTCTTCTATATCTCTAAGGACTCATTCCTGTCCTTCTCATAAAAGACAAAAATCCTCCTGAGATACTGAATCAGGAAGATAGTATAATTCTTATACTGAGTTCAGCACAGCTATGCTTCCCAAGAATGCATTAAGCGTTGTGACTAACCTCTTTTTTTTCTTTTTTTCTCATCTTCTCCAGGGGGAGAAGTGTACTCAGTGATATGTTTGCAATTTACTTTACATATATAGTGCTGAACATAAGTGGATAGGGTGTGTTTTTATTAGGTAAAGTGAAAGAAAGGCAGCTTGCACTATAACAAAAGTAACAAATTTAGTGAGAGCTCTTTGTCACTGTGAGAATGCATTAACAATTTTAGCTGACTTTTCCACACAAGAGCTCTGTTGTGTTCCCCAGTAAGTTCCACTCTTGGAGGAAGCAGTCTTCTGTTCCCCATCCCTGAGATCTCTGTAGTCACCATGGGCTCGGGCCATCAAACACACTCATACTGAAGTCCTCCACTTTCAGATCTGAATTCTCACTTTCAGTAAAGGCGGTCTGTTGCTAATGTAATTAGGTGATTAATATTGAATGTCTACCACTGAATCAGAACTGATAAATACATTGGTCTAAAAAAAAAAAGTGGGGGAGGGGGGGCAGAAAAGAAAAAAGAAATGAAAAAAAGAGAGAAAAAACACAAAAACACACATGAATCAAAAATGCAATGTTCAAATTAATTTATTTTTTTTATTTGTACCAATGAAAGGTTTGGATAGATGTGGGAGAAAGGGAGCTTTATTTTAAAACTTTGATTATCTCAAGGGAAGCAAACTTCCATTTGTATTTAGAACAGAACAATTTCTAGCTTAAAGGCAGTCTTTTAATCAGCAAGCTCATCTGATGAAATGCTGTAGGATTTACTTATATATCAAAAGAGTTCCCTAGACATTTAAGAGATGCAACTGAATACGATTAAAAGATCAGTTTTAAACAGTTTGTGTTACAGTTTGTTTGCTGTGCTTTGTGAGAGAAGTTTAGTTAATAATGTGAGCTTGTAGTGTTTTAGAAGATAGTAAAGTATTGAAAGAAAAACCACCATTGTAGTTGCCTAGCAGAGATGCAACTGTTCAGTTTTTTGGATGTGATTGTCTGTAAAAAGTGAACAGAGAAACTATTAAGCCAAGGGTTGTACCCAAAAATAGAATCATTTATGAATAACCTTTCTGGACCTAATTCTTTGCTGGATTAAACCTCATGTAATGTCACTGTAGTCAGTGGTGCATAAATCAGTGGAGTAAATTAGCCCTGTCATGAAACCAAGAAATCAAAGGAAAGAACAGTCCAATAAAGCAGAGATGAAATGCTGATATTAGCAGAATGCCACTGTTCTTGGTATACTGCATTCTTAGTGCCCAGCAGTGAATATTTCATTCTTCCCAGGTGCAAAATCTTCCCAGCAGCACTTTAAGGTAGATTTATAATAAATGACAAAATTAATGATTTAGTTCTGTTATAATGCCACTTTAGGGCTCCCAACAGGAGCCTAAGCAGTTAGTAGACAACATCTGTACTCCTGCAATGTAGTCTCCAAATCAAGTCTCAATCTCTTCAGAAAAATTTTGGGACTGCTTTTTTTTTTTTGCTATCTGTTTTTCTTTAGCTGTATCTCACACATACAGATACTAGAAACTAGCATTCATACGTGTGGAGAGCTTTCTACAATGAAGACTGAAGGAAATACTAGGAAGATCTATGTAAGAGCTGGAGTAAATTAAGTATTGTCACAGCCTCCACTATGAAACCAGTAAAAAACAGAATGGATTTGTTTGTATTTCATGTCTACATAATATTAATGGCTTTAAGAACCCAGAATATTCCAGTGACTTTAGAAGTGCCTTAGATGCATTAAAAAAAATCCATTTACTCTAATCAGCATCCATAACAGCACATGGTCTTGTCTCAGACCTCATACTCTTTTGACTGTCTGACCCAGCGATTAGCTTGTCTGAAATTAAGATTGTGATTTCCCTCAGCCGCAGACAATGATTTTTGCACCATACACACTGAGAGCCAAGTCCTGGATGGAGCCTTTAGGTATTATTATGATCCTCATAAAGAGCTGATTGAAAATCCTACTGTTGAGTCTGCAGCTATACAACTGAACTATTTAGAATAACACATATCATCAGCACAGCTCACTTCTCACTGCAAAGAGGTGAAACAACCTGAATTCTTTTGAATTCCTACCATGCAGACTTCAGTGATGAGCTGAAGGATGAGAAACAGTTTGCTGTAAATAAGTAGGGAAAGCTTTCCGGACCTACATATAAGGAAACCATGTAAAGAATGCAACATGTAGCACACATGCTGTTATGTTGCATCTGGTGTAGGTATAACGTCTTGGCCATTGAACAGAACTTGCTGGAAGGACTAGCAGAGGACTCAGATCATACTTGTCCCATGGCATCTGTGATATTTGCCATTTTTTACCTATTTTTATGTTTTTTTCATGTGATGGTTTCAGATAAGCAATCTGCCATGGTATTCAAGCACCTCTCCAGATTTTCAATTTCTTTATTGAAATTCTGTTATTTCTGTTTAGAATTCACCTCTGGGCATGTTCTGAGGAGAGGAATGAAGGGAACAAGATCTGAATTTGCCAGCAGCAACATGAGATGCTTATGCAAACACATCCAGACCTACCCAAATTGGCAGATATGTCTTTAGGCTTGAGTGACTGGAGATATGGGAACACATTCCAGAGTCAGATCTACAGCCCTAATTTCAAGTGATAAAACATCATTACAACGTTGGTTTATAAGTGCACAAAGTTTAGCTGGCAATGTTCTGCTAAAAAAGCAGAGTTCTGCAAGAGGGTTAGTTTTTGTTGACAAATAACTCTGACTTTGGTATAAGTATTTACATTTGCAGCTGTTCAACTCCATCCATCCAGCCATCCACTTAGTTTTCTGGTTTTCAATAATTAAAATAAGATATTTCTGCAGTGGAAAAAAATTGATCAATTTTTGGAAGTTTTATTGAAGGATATGTTGCATTTTTTAAAATGCCAACTCATGACAATTTCAAAAAGAATCACATAAAATAAGTCAATTAACTCATTCTTAGATTTAAGTAATTGTTATAAAGAATTATCATTGCCTCGTGAAACATAGTCTAGTGAATTTTGTTACTTCTGTTGTTTCTGTTACTGCTTTTCTAAAACAAACTCATCTTTTTCTATGGTATTTGCTTTACATCTAATGCTATTATATTTTGTTTCAGCTGGCAGGCTTCATCTATGCCTGTTATGTTGTGAAATGTATTACTGAAGAAGAGGACAGCTGTAAGTACTAAAGCTTTATTACATACAAAATGAATTCTGTTTTTTAAATCACCCCTCTGCTATGTTGGCTCTTGCTGACTTCTACCTAATTCCCTATTATTCTGTAGCCAGAACTTGCTTTCTGCCCATCTATCTTGATCTAAAATTTCCAAATGCCTGGAAGACAAAGGAGTAATGAAATGCAGCTTAAAATAATGCACACTCGTTTCTTCTGGATAGATCACTGTAAATTTTTCTTTTCTCACTGCTTAAGACACACACACCAAAAAATCCCAGTTGACAAACACAACCTTTTTGTCCTTTTTTTCTTTTTTTTTTAATTCTTATTCCAGGCTGTTAACTGTCTTCACAGTAATTGGCTTCCACTGAGGGTATAGCTCTTCTGTGTTGACCTCAGTGCTGTATTGTAGAAGCACTTCTGGCAAGAAATAGCTTTAGATCATTGCAGGACCTTCGTTTATGAGAGGTGAAACTGTGGAGTTTCTCTTTGTTTGTGCTTCTCCCAGGGTACAATTACAAGGAGCAAAATGATTTAATGTAGATGTATGTTTGTGTTTCTTCTGTTTATTTATATCAATATAGGCCTGTTGATCAGAATTTGCTTTTAACACATGCAATGAAGCCAAGCCATTTTATTTTTTCTCTACCCTAACCTTGATTTTTTTAAAAGGGCCACTGCAGTGTTTCAGTACATCTTGGGATTCATGCTAAAGCACTTTAGAAGCAAGTATCAGAGCTGCATGTAACTTTGATAAAATATACATGAATCCTAGAGAGAGTTTTGCAACAGGAAGCTAAAGGGCTTTTATTTGACTGAGAGCACTGCTAGGGCTGGCAGGGGTTCCTTTGTGTGCTCTGCTGTGTATTGAAAGCAGCTGAAACCCTGTAATCTATTGGCAATACAGTGCCACTGTGAGCCATCAAGGGAAGATTTAGTGCTGAAACTAAACCTCATTCGGAGGTCTCTCAGATGATGCTCCTCTCAGTTGTCTGTGTATCTGTGGAGGTGAGAAGGCATAAGAGTAAAAGGAATTTGAGACAAGTGTGTGGAGCAGGGGTGCACTTTGAATGTGTTTCATTTCTTAGAGATGGACTCAAAGTATGTGTGCTTTTTCCTGCTTTCCAGCTAAGTGCTGGAGGATGGTGAATCCTTGCCCCTAGGTGAAATCCCTTTTTACTACCATCTTGCCTTCTTTTCTGAGGACTTAAATCTTTGTCAGTCTTCTGCAACGCTTTAAGAAACAATGTAAGTAAAAAGCAAGGAAGGGACTAGGTCTTGGCTTGCTGAACAGGCACAAAAGTCGAAGCACATTTGGAAGATCTCTCCTGTGGGCTGTAAGACGTGTTCCTGGCAGCAAAGCACCGTGGCCAATATGCTATTGTTTCCTGCTCACAGCTGAGGGAGCTCCCTGTTGTTCAGAAGCCACAGATTGTCATGCTTCTTTGAACGTTTTCTTGTGGTTGTCTTGCCTACTTTGAGGCCTTTATTACTTTGTTAGCACACCTCCACCAGGTCACTCCTTCCTGCCAGTGAGTCATCCTGACAGCCTGTCAGAGCCCACTGGCACACTGGGATAAAGCCCCACTCCACCTGCCATGTGGTCTCACTGCTTTGGGATCCTGGATGGAAAAAATGGTGAAAGGAAACTTCACAGTGGCTAAGTTATCCCTATGCAGTAATAACTCTCAGACCAGATTTGGCCCCTTGAGGTACCATAAATTTCTCCTTCACACTTGCCTGATCTGCATGAGACGATTCCATCTGTGAAAGTACTGAAGAAGGTATGTTTAGGTGTCTTCTTATCAAATATAAACACTAAATAGCATAGCATACATAAGGGATTTGTTACTCCCAGAGGAGTGCAATAGAATGACATGTTGCCAAAGGAGAGAGAAAGCACAAGAAAACAAATCTAAATTGAGTAAAAGATTCTAAAACTAGAACTGGGCAGGGAGTGCTCCCAGTAGAAATTAAGACAGCTTTAATTTCACAATACTTCAAGCTGCCAAATCTGGCGTGCTGCTAAGAAGAAAGCTCTGTAGCACAGAAAACAACCCTCCTGCCCACAGTGAGCTCCCTTCCACAGTCTTACTGGATATCTAGCACAGTACGAATTATTGTGCTGCCCATAATCACTGCTCAGCATCCATGTCTGGTAAGAGATGAGAACGGGCTTGTGCTTGCATGCAGTTTGGCAACTTGTGCACCTTTGGCACATTAAAGATATGTCCGCTGTGGAGGACTAGTTGCCACAAAACAGCTCCTCCACACTTCTTTCCCAGCTTCCAAAGAGGTCTAGGAAGAACAAGAGGGGAAAACAGACATTTTTTAACCACCTCTGTACTCATAGGCATCACAGGAGAAATCTAGATTTCTGGTTTTCAGTACCATGTAAGGTGTATGTACCATGTATGTTTTCAGTATCATGAAAGGAGCGCGCTCCTGCCAAACACAGATGACCATAAGGACAACCATATCAGCACACTCCAAAGGAGTCCCAAATACCATCTGATGAGATAGAGTCAGTAGAAAAAGCCTTTTGATACCTGTGATGGATTTGGTGACTATCCATATCTTCGGTTTCATTTCTTTTGCTAATGGGTCATGGGAGCTAACAGCAGCCCAGAAAAGAATTGTAAGAGGCAAGAACACTGAGCCAGCAGGAGTAGACAGCATTGCATGAGACTACAGAAAAAGTCAAGCATTCTCTAATAACCAGCCAGAAGAGTGTTCCAAACTTTAAACAGATCAGCTTATCAGCATTTCTCTGGAAAAGAGAAAGTGTCTCATCTCCTGTTGGCGTAGAGTCTCAACTGTAGAAACACAATCAAGTTACGTTTCAGCTGAATTAGTTTTGCTCTCAGAGCAATTGGAAGCTGAAATAATAACTATATTCTCGTAAAAGAAAAAATGAGCAAGGGTAGAATTAAGCAAGTATTTCACTAGATTAACCTGTTCTAACCTCACTGAAGGATTAAGAATGGAACAACAGAGTGATCAAATCAGGGTCATAAGTAAGGCTGAGTCAGCAAGCCTTGGGGTTTTGATAACTCACATACCAAATAAATCCAGCAGGAAACCCTCTAAATCAAAGTACAAGTCTGAACGACTTTTCATGAAAACAACATGCTTTGGATTAAATCTACATCAAAAATTACAGAGAAAGCTGCTTTCCTTCTCACTGTAATCTCAAGCAGTACCCTAACAGTGTGAACACCAGAGCCAAAACACAGCAGCCATCTCCAAGAATGAGACAAACGTGGCTTTTCCCCAGTTACTTCTCTTGTCAGTGCTTCACCACTCCTGGTGGCCCCGTCTGCATCTTGTTCCCTATGGTTGTGTAGTGAGGATGACCCTTGAAGCTTGGGGCAGCTCAGGTCTGGTCTGGGAAAGACAAGGGAGGATGGGTGCCCAGCAGGACTGCTGTCAACTCAGCACTCTCCTTTTCAGTATTGCCACTGGAATGACTAAGCTATTGTCATTCTTTCCTCATTAGCGTTATTAGCTGTAGCAATTAAAAATAAAGCATGAATATGTCAGCAACAATCATTACTTGGAGGCATTCCACAGCTGTAAACTTACCGGAGCACCTCATTTGCTTTCCAAAATCATATTAGTCCTGCATTTTTCAAAGGCTGCACATTATTTTTAATAACACTGAAATGTTCATTTAATGTGCATTTCCTCACTAGCAATTTGGCACCCTGCTGTAAGATGTTACTGCCTTAGTAAAGTAAATTCAGTGTATTTCTGAAAACGTTATTAAATACACAGATATTTAGTAGAAAGCTCTAGATTCCAAGCAATGAAGCTTCATCCTCCTGGGGATTTTTGTCTGCAAACAATAGAAAAAAAAAGAAGCCTAGGTTACTGAAGAGGGAATTCTACACTCTCCTTGCAGATTCTGGTGAGAGAAAGTGGACTGCCTTGCTATTAGAGAGGCTGCTCTAGTCAGGAATGAATCTCAGCCCAAATGACTGGAGATAATCACAAACTCAGTCTGTGTTCTACAGTGAAATCTTAATCCAGCTCCAGTTTGGACCTGTTTTCCAAACAAGGGCTAAAAGCAGCATTTATCCACCATATCACAATTCCAAGGCAAACAGAAGAAATCTGACCTGATTATTCCCAGAGTGCAATGAGGTACAACCTTTGCACTATCATCTCACACTAGCAAGAACTCAACTTGTATATTCACTGTCTTCTTTTCTCTCAGCACTGTTACTAGGTAAAGAGTGAAGAAAAAGAAATTGCAACTGGGTTCAAATAGATTTTTCTCTATATCCCATTGAGCACAGCATTTGTGTCTGTCTGACACAGAAATAAAGCTTTAGATAACCTTTTGAAATTATTTTATTCCCCTCTGAAAAAGCTTGAATTCAAGATTCTATTTGAATTACAGAAAACATTCAAGAATACAATACCCTGGATAGTGGATATCGCATGGTATGCAATGCAGCATAGCTGTTATGTTCCAATAAACTCAGTGCCAGACAACAACCCATTCTGGGATCCTATGCTTGACTATGTAGTACAAAGATGGTGAAAAGATTTTCTTTTAGAAGACAGTATTAAATGTATTGTTTGTAAGAGATGAGAAACTTTGATAAACATATCAAAATAGGGAGAAAAGACTTTTATTGTTAGCTCTGTTACAGCCTGCCTTCCACCTATGGTTAGGTTGTTTAACCTCACAATACTCCTGTTTCCCCTGTCTAAAATGGAAAATAATGGCAGGGAGAAATCTGCAAGCGTGTTGCCTCATAACTTTGAGCTTCTGGGATGAAAGGCACTTTTGAAATACAGAATATGCTTCGATATCACTTTACTTCTGTGACAAATTCTTTTCAAGGTCTGCTTAGTGAGACATGACAGAGAAGTAATACCCCACCTTCCATCCCTACTTAAAAATCTCTAAAACAAAGAGGAACTAGTAGCAAATGTTCAGCATTAATTTTCATTATTTCCTTCTCTTCCCATCTTCTGGTCAATAAGGCTG